CGGCACTACGACTGCCTCTTTCCAATTTTGAGGAATCATGCTATTATTTACAGTAACCTCCATTAAGCAATAAAAGGACCATCAAATTAAATAGTTCGAACTTTATTTTTTACCAAAGGAAGTGTCTGTTGTCCTCAACTCAAAATGTATGCTTTTGCGTTTCAAAGAATTCGTTTTCCTTTTCACTTGCGTAGTATTCGATCATCGCTTTGAGGCTGTCATGCTTTCACCTCTTGATAATAAGACATGCAGGGACATTTTTTCCCTTTTATTGTCTCGTTTATTATTACGTTGCTTGCCGCCCGGCTTTTAATTATAATGTAGTTGTAGGAAGGACTTGAAACATTTTTAACCTTTTGCATGACAAACTGTAAAAAGGCACAATTTTGAAAAATCAAATATATAATGTTTTATTAATTTAAATCATTGGTGCCCTAGCATTGATTAAAACAATTGGTGAGAGACTGTAATTTCTCTATAAGTTCGCTCCGAATCCTGTACTAGTTTTGCATGTGAAGAGAAAGGTATAAATTGTTTAATGTATAAAATGTTAAGTGTGATATAGGATAAAGGGATCAAAGATTGCACTCTAATGCTTGGACTATTTGGAGAGTGCGGTGTTCTTTCGCATTCATTTCATGTTGTACGTAGAAGTAGCGTACGTGTGTCTCACTCATGAAGAAGCTCATTTTACCTCAAGAGCTTTACTACTTTACATTTTATTACATTTACTCATGAAGAATCTCTCCCTCCCCCCTCCCCCCTCCCCCTCTCTCTCTCTCCTCTCTCTCTCCCCTCTCTCTCTCTCCTCTCTCTCTCCTCTCTCTCCTCTCTCTCTCCTCTCCTCTCCTCTTCAGCATTTCGCTCGCTTGCGATTTTAGAGGGTGTCCAATCATTGAAATCAAACTTAACACTGCCCCATAGAATATTGAAATTTGAGCGAAATTCCAGTTTTTTTTTCTTTGTAAGAGGAAGGCTTGAGTCTAAATAAGTTTCCTTTTTGTTTTTGTTTGAAGTCCCTTTTTGCTAAAATTGTTAAAGCTGTTGACCCCTGAGTAATTTACGTTACCTATTCAAAATAAACTCCGATATTAAATGTTTTCGAAGGTATAAAAAATAATTGTATTCACTTGTTAATCGAAATAAATATCAAAACCTGCTGTACCAAAAGATCACGAGCAGTATTTTTTGAAATTTTTGATTTGCGAAACAAAGATGCAAATTCAAAATAACTGAAATCATTTATTAAAATACAAACATTTCGATAAAAATGACCATTTTCAGATAAAAACTAAAAATAGAGATTATTACCTTCCGAGACGTGAACGCTTCGGGCTACAACTGCTGGAAATCCTCGGCGTAAATAACTGGATGAATTAGCATATAGAAGGCCGTAGGACGCTAGTATCTGGCTTGCCGCTTACGTGTATTTATTTTTGCTGTGAACTCGAGATACATTTTTAATTCTAATTAATTAGGTACCTAATGCAATCGTGGTTTAATTGAACTGATAAACACCAATTCGCAATAATAATAATAATAATAATAATAATAATAATAATAATAATAATAATAATAATTAATAATCAGCTCCTAGGAACTGCAGTAGATAAAATAAGAAAACATGTGGAAAGAAAAGTTAGAAAAAAAAATCTGCAGGTCCTCTATTAATTCGAGATGCAAATTTACAGAAATTAACACCCGGGCTCCCTCTGTAGCATCACATACATTTGAAGTTTTCAAGTGGTCTGAGACATCTTCGCAAGCTTTCGATACAAGAGTTAGAACACTTCTATCAAAATAGCGGATACAACATCTTGGAAGTTCCACCGAAAGGCTATATCTTTTAAGACACCATGGAGGACGTGAACTGTTAAGTCTTAAAGTTTAGTGCCGCCAGCGAGAAAAACAGCTCAGAAATTATTTCAACACAACGAATTCATGACGGCCATCTGTGCACAAGATCACGGCTATACACCTCTTAAGCTGCCCCAAGAAGTCCACAATACACGTTTTCCGAAATCTGAGGACCGAATTGAGCAGTGGAGATCAATGGAACTCCATGACAGATTTGATATACAACGCTTCGAAGTAACTCAATAGGCATGAAGAAATCGACTAAATGGTTGAGAACCACTGGGCTTTTCCGCGAGACGGAAGGATTTGTGCTGGCTATTCAATATCAGGTAGTAACCACTAATAACTACAGGCGATATATCATGAAAAAGAGTATTACTGACAAGTGTCGCCTGCGTTAGAAGGCCACCGAATCTATTCAACATATCTGCGGTGGATGATCTCAGTTGGCACAAACAAATTATTTACGTCATAATAATGTGGCCAAAATAATCCACCAAGCACTTGCCAAAAGATGGGACCTGATAAGGGAAAGCTTGCTTTTTACAAATATCTATCGGAGCAAGTTCTGTCTAATGAGAGAAAAACAAATTCTTGAGGTATATTGCCATTGTTACAGATAAAACAATGAAAGCAAATGTCTGATAGTCATATTCCACAACACTACTCGCAGGGCAATAATAATAGATTTGGCAGTTCCATTAGATCATAATATGCTGTCAACAATTGCCAAAAAAAAGAAAAGAAAATACCAAATCTCAATTGAACTGAAAAACCTATACAAATTAATAGAGGTAGATATTGAACCCGTTGTTATTTCAACTAATGGGCTTGTTTCTGAAGATTGGAGGTTTGTGAAAGAGAAACTCAATCAATTGAATGACACTTCAGATGGGGGTGTCGCTGGCAACCACCAATATTGTGCGTAAGGTTCTCTCTCTTAGTCATTGAAGAGGAACCTGAGTGCACTGGAGCAAGATTTTCTCACAATATGTGTTAAAATTCCGTCATTGAGTTATATCTGAAAACTACGGATGAACGAGAAATTTTGAAAAATATAATTTAAACTATTGATCACCTACAAAGTTCATATCGACACCAGGGGGTCGATATCGACCACTTTGGGAATGTCTGATCTTCGCCTTT